TTGTCTATGTTTTTAGCTTGGGCTGTTGGTCAGCATATATAACTTTTGACAGCATATCAGTTATATAGCACACAGAAATATGTTGAAATGGTGAGGTGGAAAGAGGATATTCTAAAAGTAAATTAAGGTTCAAAACATCTAATGGTTACTGAATTCTCACTGTGATTGTGCTATAGAAGTTCATGGAGGAGGTGAGATGTGTTTACTCTGAGTATATTGGCTTTTCTAAAATCCAGGAGAATATTTGAAAGTTCCTGCCCTATTAAGCAGAACTAGTGGTCATTAAAAGTGAGAGTGAGGTTTCCTTGACTAGGTCACCATTTTACATATTTATGTGGTTTAATTATCTTAGATTTTGAGTTGTATTAGTAAATTAGGCTTTCATGGCACATACTGGTTCCTGAGTATTTACTATGGGCCAGGTACTTCTAAAATCAGTAGGAGGCACAGATGTACACAGCCCGTGAGTCTCCATGATGATGGGAGGACATTTAATAGTGTCTGTTGTTTCAGACCCTAGAGCTGGTTTATGCCGAGTTGCTACTAAAATCCAGGCCTCCACCTCAACTGCCAGTGCTATGTTTTCTGATATTTGTCTGGTCCATCGGACAGTTTTGATCTCCTGGAAATTTGAGAAATCAAACCATCAGTTTAATGAATGTAGATGAGAAATCATAGAAATGAAAAATTATGTCTATATCTTTTCTCTAAATGGAGTGTTCTCCCTTCACCTCACTTTGGTGTTTGGATGCTGAAATGTCAGCCATGTGAGAGGGCGCTTATGCATAACTCCTCAAATAAATACAATCAAAATTTGTGGATTGTCAGGCTGCCTCCTAAAGCAACTGTCCATACCAAGAAAGTTACCATATCTGTGCTAGATTAGGGTAAAATAAGTTTGAAAAAAAATCTTGCACATTTGAGTCCATTTCAGTCTTGTGGAAGAAAAATTTATTTCATCTACTTGCTTTTCTCCTTTCTCTTCTGTTGCCTAGGACTAGGTTATTGTCTCTCTATTATTTATTCTCATTTTGGATAGAGGTGGCAACAGAACAGGGATGCTCATTGTGAATCTTGTTTCGCTCTTTGCTTTGCCTACTCAGTAGCCTCTAGGATATTAACCCCTTCTCCAGTCCATTGCAGTGTACATTTTGATAAGCTCACTACCCCTCTGGCTTTATTGCCCTCCTTTTATTTTCCAGTCTCTTGATTTCTTTTAATATTTACTTTATATATTTATTGTTGTATATAATTCTGTAATCTTTTGTGGACACAGAATGGACATAAACATCCAAATGCACAGTGTCTGACACATATTTAAGCTCACTAAATGTTAGCTGCTGGTATTTTTTTTTTGAGAGATGAACAGTTTAGGCAAAAGGAATAGAGGTACAGAAACACTGAGGTATACAGTGTGTGTGCAATGTTCAGATATACCAATAGGGAGTAAGCAATGACCAAGTGTAGGCCATGTGTGGGGCTTACATAAAGAGTGAGTCTGGGCAAGAACCGCTGGGATGCAGATGTGATGGGGGTGTGTATTGAATGCTGCTGAAACCTGCAACCTAGGCAGGGATTTAAAGAGAGGGAATGAGTCAGGCAACTGTTGGTGTGGGGCATGCATCTGTCTTGACTTTCCAATAGCGTAGGCTGGTGGATCTCGAATACCGGTGTACATGAAAATTACGTGGGGACCTTGTTAAAAACACACTGTGTTTTTCCCCCACCCTGACCCTGTTCCCAGAGATCGACTCACTAGGTCTGCCTTGGACCCTAAGATGCTGCTATTTGATGAGCACACCAGGTGATTCAGATGCACAGTGGTCCTCAGATGCACTTTGAGAGTGCTGGAATAGTTGTTGAGGGAATGCATGCCAATTTACCGGCAGGTCTGGTGAAACGCAGTGGGAGGGATGATAGAAACAAAAAACATAAAAGTAGCATGTTTACATTCATTATGAGTTACAAATATCCATGTTCTAGCCTTGTGTTTTCTTGCTATAGATGATTGAGCACTAGTTATACAGATATAGTTTCAAAGATAAAATCTAATCAACAATCATATGATTGTTTTCTTAGGTTTTGGAGAGCTAGGAATTCCTCCCTATCTTCTAGATCTAGCAGGAGGGCAAGGGACAGCAAAACCTGTTAAAAAGAGAGCAGTAACAAGGAGGAAGGCACATAGCATGAGGTCAGGAAATGAGAAAGGTGGAAATGGGAAAGGATGGCAAAAGAGCAGAAAGATTTGATTGGTTGAGAATCTATTTGTAAAGGAACCCAGCCGGTATTTAACCTGTTTTGAAAAAACTAAACTTGCAGCATTTTTAATTAGTGGATTGCTCGATTTTAAAATTGCCCAATTGGGAATACTCAAGTTTTGATGTGTTTTATCTGCCTGCTAATTAGCAGACTGCATGGTTGACCATCATTTTCCCTTTATTTTTGTGGATAGAACATGTATATGAAGGTCTCTTGCAACACTACAGCTCAAGTCTGGATTAAAAATGCGTCACTCTGCATTTAGTAAGAGTTCGTACTAAATTATAAATCAAATTCTAGTATATCTGTTCTCCAACTCAATTCTTTCTTTTTTGCTCTTTAATATGATTTTTCCTCTAGCACAAGACTTCTCTATCCTGGCACAATTGACATTTGGGACTAGAACATTTTTGTTGTGGGGGATTGTTCTGTGTATCCGTAGGATGCTTAGCAGCATCCTGGTTTCTACCGACTAGATGCCAGTACACCCTCTCCCCCCATCCCCCCGGAGCTGGGATGACTCAGAATCTATCTGGACATTGCCAGATGTCCTCTGGGGACCAGACTTGCCCCTGGTGGAGAACTGCTAGCCTGGCATTACTATGGCCTTATTTCCTCCTCTCTGCTTACTTTTTTTGTTGTGTTGTTAATCCTCACCCGAGTATATTTTTCCATTGATTTTTAGAGAGTGGAAGGGAGGGGGAGAGACAGAGAGAGAGAGAGAGAGAGAGAGAGAGAGAGAGAGAGAAACATAGATGTAAGAGAGACTTATCGATTGGTTGCTTTCCGCACACTCCTTGACCAGGGCTGGGGATGGAGCCTGCAACCATGAACCCAGGACCATTCAGTCTGCAGGCCAATGCTCTCTCTATCCACTGAGCCAAACCAGCTAGGCTCTGCCTACTTTTTATGTTTAAAACCTTTTTTAAAAACTGAAAAGATAGAGTGTCTCTGAACAATATGACAACATCTTATGGTAGAGATAGGGATTCATCCGTTTTCCTTCGTTATTTTTTGGCCAAATTTAAGAGCAGAAATTTCTCCAATTAGTCCGAACTGACTATTTCAGGTAAAAGGGAAGTTAAGATGTGCCAGACTTCTGAAAAGCTGAAATGTTCGAGAGATTTTTGTCAGTGTTTTTTTGTTTGTTTTTGCTGAAAATATTTGCTTTTTGCTTATGGATGAAGTGCTAAACTTATTCATGTGAGAATCCAGAGGGTTCTAAGTAATTTCTTCATGTACTTCAGTTCCGCATACACAGGAGAGGCCAGGAGGCTGGGTTGTTAAACAGCAGATTTGGAGAAAGTATTGCACCTTTTATCCAGATTGGACGCACGCCCCAGAGCTTTCCTGACATTCCTTAAAACTCACAGTCCCTGATTTTAGCTGTCCACAGGGGGCGTCTATTTGCTGTTGCATTAACTTCTGAAGCACCAAAAAAAAAAAAAAAAAAGGAACCAAAATAATTTGTTTAAAAGAGAAAGAATTCAAGTTTAGTGCTAATAGTTGTTTTTTATTGTTGTTCTATTCCATCTCATAAGATATTCTAAAACAATGTGTACTCCACTGTACCCCCAAAATAAGTCAATTAATTATACTGTGACTACTTTTGCTGATAATAAAATAGCAGTAATAAAAGGAATGACAGTAGTGCAGAAAGAGAATAAACAGTATCACTGAAATGTTAGGAAACACAATAAATGGGATTATGTCTGCTGAACCAAAGTTTCACACCTCCTCCTCCAATGCTGTCAGAGGAAGTTTGTGATGGCCATCTGTTATCAACCGTGATCAAAATAATAGAACAGCGAAACTTTTTATGCTTCTAAGGGGCCTTTCATCAAAAATCTCAAAGCTGCTTCTAAATATAGAGTGACTGATCTCTAAAATTTTAAACCACTTTTATGTTTTAAGCAATTAATATGATAACTTAGTTTTTACATTCTCCATCCGGAGTACTTGCCACTTGAGCATTCAGCAACTGGTCAGCATTAGAACGTTGCTGCTGCAGATTTTAGAAGAATGCCAACTTCTCCCGTAGTTCATGTAGGTCGCCCCACTGTCATTTATCAAAGTAAAACTTGGACAACTTTAATTTCCACATCTCAATGCCCAGATTAAGGATTGTAGACCAACTGGCCAACTCTATTTAAAAAAAAAAGACTGAGACAGTATTGTCTCAACTTAAAAAGCAAAATCCTGATGCCCATTTAGTGCACTGGTAGAAATAGATGACCAACTTCTTTTTTGTCGTGTGTATGTTGCTGCATGTCTGTTGTTTGGTGTGACAAGCGGGGCTAGAGACCAGAGTATCAAGAGCATTATGGCATGGATGCTGCCAGTGTTAGTATGAATATTTACCTGAATTTAGCTTTGGTTTGTGTTTTTTTTGTATTAAGGTTGTGTTAGTGTATTTACACTTATTTTGTCCTAAAGATTTAAATAAAACATGCAGCGCAGTTTCATGTCTGTAAAAGTTGAGGCTATGAAACACTGAAAGATGGAAGTACTTTTTATGCTCATACCTCTGGTTCCTGAGGGTCCAGTTCATTTTTTTGCTGTGAATTTAAATGAGTTAATTTAAGTAGATGGGTCAGAAGCCACTATCATTGTGGTAGCCCTGTGCCTGATTCTTAATTAAAGGCAACAGGAGATTAATTTGAAACATTAATTTAAAAGTGCATACACAAAAAGAAAGAATTATTGCAAGAAAGCCTAAAGAACTTTTCTCTTGTCCCTAGATGTAGAAGACAGAAGTAGCTCAGGGTCCTGGGGGAATGGAGGACATCCAAGCCCGTCCAGGGTAAGTATATCTAATCTCTTCTCCCACATCCAGACACCCCGCATATGTAAATTGACAGAGCGAAGGTGAGTTTCTCTCAAGCACACACACAACTGCACAGATATATATGCGCACTAAGTTTAATGAGGATCAGCTTGTGTTTGGATTTTTTTTTTCATTCTCTTATTGGATGCTGTTATTGAATTTGACACCTGTTCTACTTCTGCTAACCAGAAGAAAAATCCTTCATTAAATATTTGCCCTTACTTTGCCAGTTATTGATCTAGTATTATAGAAAGTTATTTTTTGTAGCTGGCACAACTTTGGAAAAAAAGCCTAGTACTGTATCTCTGTAATATATTGGTGTAAATAGACTACTGAATAATTCTGAAGATGTAGTGTGAAGGACTAGCCTATCAATATACTCTACATAATAAATCTGTGTTGATTTCACTTTGTGAACATGTTATTATTCCACCAGTAGTGCCTTTGGTCACCAATGAGATTCATTCATTTGTTTGGTCTCAGATTTTTGCTATTCTTTTTCATGGATTTCCTCCATTATTAATTGGTTGTTAGTTTTGATGTAACGGAATGGCCATGGAATGGGAGGGAAAGGAGTGGTTAGGCCATGCATGTTTTTGTATGTGTATGACTTTGGGCATGTCATTTCACCTCTTTGATCTTCATTTTCCTAATTGATAAAATGAAGAAGTAGAACCAGAGGGTCTTTTATGTTCCGTCCAACTTATATAATCTGACTTCACCTGAATCATTTCTAGGCTCTGTAGAATCCATGTCCGCTTTTATAGTATGCATATAATGCCCCAAATTAAAAATAGACTTAGAGCCCATAGCTGAGCAACCATCTGTACCTCCCCCAACCAGCTATATAGACGAAGCATTCCGCAGGGAGCATTTTGCTCTAAGTATTCACATAAATTTGGGGGAGGGGGAGAGGTCTCTGTTTTGGCATAAGAGGCAAGGAAGGTAGGTAATCAAGCTGTCAAAATGAGGACAATTCAGCAAGCCGTAGTTACTCATTCCTACCCGTCCTTTGGCCTTGTGGTTCTCACTCTAGTCTTCAGGGTATAGCGGGATCTCTAAGCTTAACCAGTAACTTTATTCAGCCCTTGTACCAGCTGTCGAGTTTGACATTCTAATGCATTATATGGTTGGGTTGAGGAAATCTTTCCTCCTCCTCATGTTACAGTCTGCACTTGCAGAAATAAATCCATTCTCCTTGACAGCAAGTGTAGGAGATGACAGTGCTTCCCTCCATTGTTTAGTTCATTCAGACTTACTTAATTTCTTACTATTTCTCAGTTTAATACACACAGTACTTTTAATTATATTTCTGAGAACAAGATCCGGTTAGGATCATCCTGTATTTTATTTAGTGTTCATTAACTGTTCTGCCATTCTTTTCAGGGAATACGTTGGTGAATAATTTGAATCAATATTTTGCTATTTATATTTTCTAAATGCAGGGAGTTTGAATGAGAAAGATTATTGTGGCTGACTTGTATCCGTGCAGCCTAAGTCTGTCTCATCTTAAAATGGTGATACTATCAGCTACCTTGCAGTACTATGCAGAGGTTTAAATTAGATAATGTAGGTTAAGCTTTTAGAATGCTTCTTAGGGTAGGGACCCTTCATCGTAACCAGTATTATGCTTGGTAAAGAATGAGTGAGTGTAAATCCCATACTGGGTGTGTGGCATCTTCCTATGCACTGACGTAGTGACAGTGTCAGATTACAGCATCATTCAATTAATTTCTATAAATGAGGGAAGGCAGTTGAGAACGGGTTTGTTTGGAACTTTAAGGGTTCCAGTTATTCTCTAGTGAGCCGACGTTCATTTTCATTTTTCATACAGTATCTGTCATTTTTATGTGAGCATATTCTGCCCTTTGGCTAACTTGCCAACTGACACCTCTGAGTAAATTTGACTTAGTCGTTATGGGCAGTGCAACCTGCTGAACAGAATGACATTTTTTTTTTTCCTTTTGGGCTACTTAATGCACCTTTGTAGATTGAAATTTGAACCATATAATATACAAGTACATGCTTTGCTTTCGTATATGTTATCAATTCCTCCACGAAAAGTAAGTGACTAGGCAAGTTTAAAAACATTATTTTAATTTAAATTCCCATTAAAACAATGAGTGACCTTAA